CCTTTCCCCGGACTCCCTCCCGGCCAGCCGTGGCGCACTAACCCCCTTCAGGCTGTGTTCACGCCGCCAACCCCAGTCCTCTCCCTAAGCTCCAACCGAAGCCCGAGCCTCAGCTCCCAGCCCCACCCGCCCTGGAGGGTGAGCGGACAAGCCTCTCGGGCTGGTGAGTGCCGGTCGGCACCGATCCTCTATGCGGGAATCTCTCCGCTTTGCCCTCTGCACCCCCGTTGCTGTGCTGTCCTCCGCGGCTCCGAAGCTCCCCGCTCCGCCTCCCACAATCTCTGCCCGTGAAGGGGCTTCCTAGTGTGTGGAAACTTTTCCTCCTTCACAGCTCCCTCCCACTGGTGCAAGTGCTGTCCCTATTCTTTCGTCTCTGTTTTTTCTTTTTTTCTTTTGCCCTACCCAGGTATGTGGGGAGTTTCTTGCCTTTTGGGAGGTCTGAGGTCTTCTGCCAGCATTCAGTAGGTGTTCTGTAGGAGTTGTTCCACGTGTAGATGTATTTCTGGTGTATCTGTGGGGAGGAAGGTGATCTCCACGTCTTACTCTTCCACCATCTTCCCGGAAGCCTCTGAGCTTTGTTTTATTTATTTATTTATTTTTGGCTGTGTCAGGGCTTCGTTGCTGCGCACTGGCTTTCTCTAGTTGCGGTGAGCAGGGGCTACTCTTCGTTGTGGTGTGTGGGCTTCTCATTGCGGTCACTTCTCTTATTGTGGAGCATGGGCTCTAGGCACAAAGGCTTCAGTAGTTATGGCATGTGGGCTCAGTAGTTGTCGCATGCAGGCTCTAGAGTGCAGGCTCAGTAGTTACGGCACACGGGCTTAGTTGCTTCATGGCATGTGTGACCATCCTGGACCAGGGCTCGAACCCGTATCCCCTGCATTGGCAGGTGGATTCTTAACCACTGCACCACCAGGGAAGCCCCCACAAAAGCTTTTAATTTTGATGTGTTTTTGGTGTCATGTATAAGAAATCAGCACTAAATCCCAGGTCATGAAGGTTTTTCCTTAGTTTTCTTCTAAGAGGATTTTAGTTCTCATGTTTAGGTTTTTGATCCATTTTGTGTTAATTTTTGTATGTGTTGTAATGTAAGAGTCCAAATTCTTTTTTTTTTTTTTTTTTTTTTTTTTTTTTGCATGTGGATATCCAGTTTCCCCAGCACCATTTGTTGAAGACACTTTAGTTTCCCCATTGAATGGCCTTGGCACTCTTTTCAAAAACCAATTTACTACAGGTGTATGGGCTTATTTCTGGACTCTCAATTCTATTTCATTGTTGTGTATGTCTACCATTATGTTAGTACCTCAATGTTTTGATTACTGTAGTTTTTGTAGTAAGTTTTGAAATCAGTAAGTGTAAGTCTTACAACTTTGCTTTTCTTTTTCAAGGTTGTTTTGGCTATTCTGGGTCCCTTGTAATTCCATATAAATTTTAGGATCAGCTTTCTATTTCTGCAAAAAAGACTACTGGGATTTTGATAGGGATCATACTGAATCTGTAGATTGCTTTGGGTGTTATTGCCATCTCTCTCTTTTTTTTTTAACATGCCTATGTAAAAGGAATTTTTAAAAACTTTTATTATGGTAATAAAATATATACAAAAGTAGTGGTATTTATCAATTTATCATCCAGTGTATTGGTCAGGGTTCTCCAGAGAGAACCAAATATATACATATATATACATATATATATTTTATATGTAATATATAATTGTATCTATATCTATAATATATCTATATCTATAGAGAGAGGAAAGAGAGAGAGAGATTTATTTTAAGGAATTGGTTCCCATAATTGTGGAGGCTGAGAAGTCCCATGATCTGTGACCTGCAGGCTACAGACCCAGGAAAGCTGGTGCTGTAGGTCCAGTCCTGAAAGCAGAGAGCTGATGGTACAAGTTCTAGTTTGAGGCAAGAGAAGACCAAAGTTCCAGCTTAGTGGTGAGGCAGAGCCAATTCTCCCTCCCTCTGCTTTTTGCTCTCTTCAGTCCTCAATGGATTGTATGATGCCCACACGCACTGTGGAGGAGGATCTGCTTTACTTAGATTTTTACAGATTCAAGTGCTCATCTCATCTGGAAATACCGTCACAAACACACCCCCAAATCATGTTTAACCAAGTATCTGTACGTCCTACGACCCAGTCAAGTAGACATGTGAAATTAACCATCACATTTAACACTTTTCAACACACCCGATCTTGTTAGATCTAGAGGTTTGATCAGATTCATGTTCTGTTTTTTTATTGCCATCTTAACAATATTAAATGCTCCAGTTCATGAACATGAGATATACTTCCATTTATTTAGATCTTCTTTGATCACTTTCAACAATGTTTTGTAGTTTCCAAGGTGCAAGTCTTGAACCTCCTTGATTAAATTTATTCCTAAGTATTTCATTGTTTTCAATGCTATTGTAGGTGGAATTGTTTTCCTAACTTAATTTTGTTGATTGTTCATTGCATGTTTTATGTGTTGATTTTGTATCCTGCAAGTGTGCTAAATTAATTTATTAGCTCTAATAGTTTTTTTGTGGATTCTTCAGAATTTTCTGTATATATAAGATCATGTCATTTGTGAATATAGTTTTACTTCTTCCTTTGCAATCTGGATGCTCTTTGTCTGTTTTTCTTGACTAATTGCTCTGGCTAGAATTTCTAGTACAATGTTGAATGGAATTTGTAAAATAAGACACCCTTGTCTTGTTCCTGATCTTAGGAGACAAGCTTTCAGTCTTTATCATTGAATATAATGTTACCCGTGGGCTTTATTTTAAACCTTTTTTTTTAAACTCTGATTTTGAAATAACTGAGTTAAACTGCATAGCTTAGAAACCTAACACATCATCTGAAAGTCCACCAATCCCCAGAGATGATTACTATTCATATTTTGAAAATTGTTCTGTAAATATCCTTAACATTTTTTCCAAAAATATGATCTAGTAGATACTGTCTATATTACTAAAACAGGCAGCAGATATCTTATCTGTAGCATTTCAGGTAATGGGAGTTATCTGTTACAATTAATCTTGAAATGAAACATTTTGAAATGTACCATCTTTGGGAATATGGCTGGTATTTTTTAATGTGTGTTCTTTGTTTTAAATTACAGATTGGGTTTGTCCTTTATCCCCCCAGTGGAGGTCCTGCATGGGATTTAGTGGATCATGACAACGTTATGTTTCTCACCATATGCTTTTGTTGGCATTATGCAACAGCCATTATCATCATTGGAGCAATTTATGCCTTTGTCACCTGGTAAGTTAGTGATTTTTGTTCATTGAAGTTCTATTTTTTGGTATATGATCATCAAGGCTTGATATTACCAAACTTTAAGTTCAAAGAGGTATTTCATTCCTTAGCATTCCACAGAACAGGGTAATATAGCAGAAAATTATCTGCAAACACAAACATTTCCAATAAAAAGAATAAATGCTGGTTTTAGGGGCAAGACAGGAATAAAGACACAGACATAGAGAATGGACTTGAGGACACAGGGAGGGAGAAGGGTAAGCTGGGGCAAAGTGAGGGAGTAACATTGACATATACACACTACCAAATGTAAAGCAGATAGCTAGTGGGAAGCAGCTGCGTAGCACAGGGAGATCAGCTCAGTGCTTTGTGACCACCTAGAGGGGTGGGGTAGGGAGGGTGGGAGGAAGATGCAAGAGGGAGGGGATATGGGGATATCTGTATACGTATAGCTGATTCACTTTGTTATACAGCAGAAACTAATACAATATTGTAAAACAATTATACTCGAATAAAGATGTTAAAAAAAAGAAAATAAAAAAAGAATGAATGAGAAAACTGAAAAAAAAAAAAAAGAATAAATGCTGGTTTAAAGTTGGAATAGCTAAAAATTGTCTCTGCTGTGCTCCTAACCTATGCATTACCCTTCAGTACACTCTTCTGTGCCTCCATGTCTTTGCATATGCTGTTTTCTGATTCAAATGGTCCTCCCCACACCTGCAGTGAGCCCTCCATTTGCCCATGTTTACATCAGTTATAGCACTTCTCAAGCTTGGTGTCATTTTTGACCAACATGTATGTCTCCCATTAAATTTGAGTATCTGGTTAATTTGACATTTCCTGTAATATTTCTAACAGTAAGATTCAGTTGAACTGTACATGTTTTTACAAGGACTTTGATACAATGTTTCATGATGGGTGAGGAGTGATATAACAGATTGCTAAGAATCCATGTTCCTAGCTCTGCTGCTTGTCAGCTATATGACTTTGGGTAAACTATTTAACCACATTAAATATCAGTTTTGTCATTTACAAAATGGAGATAATAACAGTACCTAAATGAGATCATGTATTTAAACTGCCTACAACATAATAGGAGCTCAAGGAAGATTCTTCTTGTGTTTGTTTGTTGTTGTTTTTTTTTTCAGTTTCCTGTGATAGATTTCTTTTTAAATTGAAATGCAATTGACATACAACATTACACTAGTTTTAGGTGTACAACATAATGATTCAACTTTTGTATACATTGCAAAATGACCACCACAATAAGTCTAGTTATACCATCTGTTACCATACAAAGTTACAAAAAATTTTTTCTGTGATGAGAACTTTCAAGATTTACTTTATTAGCAACTTTCAAATCTGCAATACCATATTACTGATTATAGTCACCATGTGTATATAATATCCCCATGACATTTAAATTTTATTTATTTTTCTCATTTTTTAAAGAAACTTTTAATTTTATATTGGAGTACAGTTGATTAACAATGTTGTATTAGTTTCAGGTGTACAACAAAGTGATTCAGTTATACATATACATGTGTCTATTCTTTTTCAAATTCTTTTTGCATTTAGTTTGTTACAGAATATTGAGCAGAGTTCCCTGTGCTATACAGTAGGTCCTTGTTGGTTATCCATTTTAAATATAGTGGTGTGTACATGTCAATCCCAAGCTCCCTAAATATCTCTCCCTCCTACCCTTCCCCCCTGGTAACCATAAGTTCATTCTCTAAGTCTGTGAGTCTGCTTCTGATTTGTATATAAGTTCATTTGTATCATTTTTTAGATTCTGCAGAGAAGCAGTCATATGATATTTCTCTTTCTCTGACTTCCTTCACTCAGTATGACAATCTGTAGGTCCATCCATGTTGCTGCAAAAGGCATTATTTCATTCTTTTTAATGGCTGAGTAATATTCCATTGTATATATGTACCACATCTTCTTTATCCATTCTTTTGTTGATGGACATTTAGGTTGCTTCCATGTCTTGGCTGTTGTAAACAGTGCTGCAATGAATATTGGGGTGCATGTATTCTTTCAAACCATGTTTTTCTCTGGGTATATGCCCAGGAGTGGGATTGCAGAATCATATGGTAGCTCTATTTTTAGTTTTTTAAGGAACCTCTATACTGTTCTCCATAGTGGCTGCACAAGTTTACATTCCCACCAACAGTGTAGGAGGGTTCCCTTCTCTCCACACCCTCTCCAGCATTTATTGTTTGTGGATTTTTTGATGATAGCCATTCTGACTGGTGTGAGGTGATATGATCATCTCAATATTTGCAGAAAAAGCTTTTGACAAAATTCAACACCCATTTATGATAAAAACTCTCCAGAAAGTGGGCATAGAGGGAACATACCTCAACATAATAAAGGCCATATATGACAAACCTACAGCTAGCATCATACTCAATGGTGAAAAGCTAAAACATTTCCTCTAAGATCAGGAACAAGACAAGGATGTTCACTCTTGTCACTTTCATTCAACATAATTTTGGAAGTTCTAGCTACAGCAATCAGAGAAGAAAAAGAAATAAAAGGAATCCAAATGGGAAAAGAAGTTAAACTGTCACTGTTTGCAGATGACATGATACTATACTTAGAAAATCCTAAAGATGCTACCAGAAAACTACTAGAGCTCATCAACGAATTTGGTAAAGTTGCAGGTTACAAAATTAATACACAGAAATCTGTTGCATTTCTATACACTAACAACAAAACATCAGAAAGAGAAATTCAAGAAACAACCCCATTTACCATCACATCAAAAAGAATAAAATACCTAGGAATAACCATACCTAAGGAGATAAAAGACCTGTGCTCTGAAAACTATAAGACTTATTTATTTTATAACTGGAGGTTTGTACCTCTTGATCCTCTTCACCCATTTTTGCCCACCTCCCCCCATTCTGGCAACCATCAATCTGTTCCCTGTATCTATGTGTTATGTTTTGTTTGTTCATTTGTTTGTTAGATCTCACAGGTAAGTGAAATCATATGGTATTTGTCTTTCTCTGCCTTATTTCACTTAATGTAATACCCTCAATGTCCATTTCATTCTTTTTTATGGCTGAGTAGTATTCCATTATGTACATATAAATATAAAATATATATATATATATATATATAAACATATATATAAAAACATCTCCTTTATCCATTCATCCATTGATAGACCCTTAAGTTGTTTCCGTATCCTGGTTATTATAAATATGCTGCAGTGAACCTAGGGGTGCCTTTATCTTTTTGAATTAGTGTTTTCATTTTCTTCAGATAAATACCCAGAAGTGGAATTGCTGGCTTACATGGTAGTTCTATTTTTAATTTTTTTTTTTTTGCGGTATGTGGGCCTCTCACTGTTGTGGCCTCTCCCGTTGTGGAGCACAGGGTCCGGATGCACAGGCTCAGCGGCCATGGCTCATGGGCCTAGCCGCTCCGCGGCATGTGGGATCTTCGTGGACTGGAGCACAAACCCGTGTCCCCTGCATCAGGAGGCGGACTCTCAACCACTGCGCCACCAGGGAAGCCCTATTTTTAATTTTTTGAGGAAGCTCCATGCTGTTTTCCACAGTGGCTGTACCAATTTACATTTCCACCAACAGTGCATGAGAGTTCTCTTTTCTTCATATCCTGGCCAACACTTGCTATTTCTTGTCCTTTTGATAATAGCCATTCTGCAGGTATGAGGTGATATCTCACTGGTGTTTTGATTTGAACTTCCCTAATGATTAGTGATATTGAACATTGTTTCATGTGCCTTTTAGTTATCTGTATGTCTTCTTTGGAAAATGTCTATTCAAATTCTCTACCTATTTTTATTTTATTTAATTAATTTATTTATTTTTAACATCTTTATTGGAGTATAATTACTTTACAGTGGTGTGTTAGTGTCTGCTGTATAACAAAGTGAATCAGTTATATATATACATATGTTCCCATATCTCTTCCCTCTTGCGTCTCCCTCCCTATCCCACCCCTCTAGGTGGTCACAAAGCACCGAGCTGATCTCCCTTTGCCATGTGGCTGCTTCCCACTAGCTCTCTATTTTACGTTTGGTAGTGTATATATGTCCATGCCACTCTCTCACTTTGTCACAGCTTACCCTTCCCCCTCCCCATATCCTCAAGTCCATTCTCTAGTAGGTCTGTGTCTTTATTCCCATCTTACCCCTAGGTTCTTCAGAACCTTTTCTTTTCCCTTAGATTCCATATATATACATGTTAGCATGTGGTATTTGTTTTTCTCTTTTGGACTTACTTCACTCTGTATGACAGACTCTAGGTCCATCCACCTCATTACAAATAACTCAATTTCGTTTCTTTTTATGGCTGAGTAATATTCCATTGTATATATGTGCCACATCTTCTTTATCCATTCATCTGATGATGGACACTTAGGTTGCTTCCATGTCAGTTGCTTCATTTGCAAATATTTTCTCCCATTCTGAGGGTTGTCTTTTGGTCTTGTTTATGGTTTCCTTTGCTGTGCAAAAGCTTTGAAGTTTCATTAGGTCCCATTTGTTTATTTTTGTTTTTATTTCCATTTGTCTAGGAGGTGGGTCAAGAAGGATCTTGCTGTGATTTATGTGATAGAGTGTTCTGTCTATGTTTTCCTCTAAGAGTTTGATAGTTTCTGGCCTTACATTTAGGTCTTTAATCCACTTTGAGCTTATTTTTGTGTATGGTGTAAGGGAGTGATCTAATCTCATACTTTTACATGTACCTGTCCAATTTTCCCAGCACCACTTATTGAAGAGGCTGTCCTTTCTCCACTGTATATTCCTGCCACCTTTATCAAAGATAAGGTGACCATATGTGCATGGGTTTATCTCTGGGCTTTCTATCCTATTCCATTGATCTATCTTTCTGTTTTTGTGCCAGTACCATACTGTCTTGATTACTGTAGCTTTGTAGTATAGTCTGAAGTCAGGCAGCCTGATTCCTCCAGCTCCATTTTTTGTTCTCAAGATTGCTTTGGCTATTCGGGGTCTTTTGTGTTTCCAT